TTTCTGGCTACTTAATAAAGAACAATATTCACTTGAGCCCGCTGCTGAAAGTTCGTACTATACCGTGCATTTGTTGGTATGTGGATTAGAAAGAAACTTGCTTGGGTTGTGAAGTAAGTGCAGATTTGCCTTACAATGGAGCTTTAGTATAAACTCAAAGAAATCAGCAGAGAGCAGTTCGGAAAACTCTTATGTCTAAACTGGGCCGCTTTATTATTGATGATTCCTTTTTGTTGCACGTTGCAATGTAGAAGGAAATAAAACCAAATTTCAAACCCTTGTTGAATTTATTCCAGTGAAATGTTTTTCAGATGCTTGTCTTTGGTTAATTTTGATTTACTTTATCTGCTTATCTGCAGTCAGAAATGACGTAGACATTATTGCTGTGACTAAACTAAAAAAAGATTTTTGTTAAAAGTACCCAGATCGTATCAGTGGGAATATATTCCACTGGCCTCAGCGTATTTGCCTACAAGGGTCTGTTTGTAAATATTGTAACTTTGAAGTGTATGTCCTTGTAGAGACTGAAGTTTGACCTTGAGGCATTTTTCAGGTAAGTTTGCTTCTTTTGGGGGGTTAGTGTCGGCACCCCACCCCCCACCCCCTTATTTGTACGTATCTCTATCAGCTGCCAGCTCCAGCAGACCTGGCTTGGCCCTTGCTGTATTCTGTTGCCTCCTCTCCCTTCCTGGAAGTGGGAGTGCTGGCCTTCCTGGCACCTCTGACATCATCCTTGCCTGCCTGCCCTCCCCCTTCTCTGCCTGAAATGTGGGTATATCCCACGGTCCCATCTTTGCTCCCTTCCTTTACTTTCCCTTTTTCTCTTTCCAAGGTGTGAGCTACCTCCTGTGTATGAGCTGTTGGCTTCCGAGTCTAGGTCTCCTGCCTTAGGGGCCAGGCCCATTTGTGTATCTGCCCACCACAGGCCTTTACTTCAGGTCCCCTGGTCTCACTCAACATGGACAGAAGCAGAACTCATTGTGATGTCCCCCCAGGCCCACCTCTCCTCTGTTTTCCTGACTTGGGCCAGTGGCACAACCGTCTACCAAGAAGGCTAAGCCCGAGCCCTGCAGGTTACGTGCAGTCTTCGGTACGCTCACCTCCTGCTCCCAGGTGATCGCCAAGCCCTTTGGGTTCAGTCTTCCAGGATCTCTCTTTCATCCTTTCTCTCCATCTTCAGTGCTTCCTTCTGAGTTCCGCTCCCAGCAGACCCCATGTCAAGTACTCGGTACTCCCTTCCCTCCCATTCATTCGTCTCACACCCTGAATCCCTGCCTCCTGGCATCGCATCATACCTGGAAACGTGTTTGAAAATAAATGACGTGAACGACCCAGTTATCACATGTAACAAGTAACAGTGCAGTTGAGTCGAGGACAGAGTTATAAAGAATGGAGAGTTCAGGATTTCCTCACACGTGGGCATTATGCCTTCATTTTTCAGAAAGCAGCGCCCAGGTCTGTTCTGGTGAAGGGAACGACACAATGGATAGAGGTTTACACAATTACACACATTTGGAGCCATTTTTAAAAAAAATTAAATAGTCTCCTAGTATACGTGAATGATTTATAGTAATCTTTAACATTAGATTTTTAACTGTTCATGATTCATTGTTCAAATGATGTTGGGCAGTATACCTTCAAATATCCTGAGATTGTTATATTCTTCTGGCCAGGATCCCAGGGATTTTTCTAACCCCAGTTATCTCCTTTACCCACATTACACATGACTCACCAGAGCAGGGAGAGGTGGGCCCTGGTCTTCCACTGCCACATGTCATTTTAGGAACCGGATGACAGTGTAGAAGAAATTGGGGTTGGAAAAGCTTCCACAGCTCAACCCAGCCAAGGCACAATGATCTCTTTACAGCCCCTCTGCCCCTGCGAAGTGAGGGAACAACCAAGTTCTCTGCTTTGTGTCTTACTGTGTCTGTGCCACTTATTACCGAGTCACCATAAACGCATGTGGCTTCACACATTTTCTCTCCCTTTTGATACATAATGGAAGACACATTACTCACTCCAGATGCACCGGGTGACCCAGCATATACTACTAGTAGACATGTCAATTATATATATATATATTTTTAAAAAATATATTTTTATTGACTTCAGAGAGAAAGGGAGAGGGACAGAGAGACAGAAACATCAATGATGAGAGAGAATCATTGTTTGGCTGCCTCCTGAATGCCCTCCAGTGGGGGTCGAGCCCACAACCTGGGCATGTACCCTTGACCGGAATCGAACCCGGGACCCTTCAGGCCGACATTCTATCCACTGAGCCAAATCAGCTAGGGCCAGAAATGTCAGTAATTTTAACAAACCTCAAAAGACTGAGTAAGCTTTGAATGTTCTGTTCAGAGAGAAGGGTTAGTAATTGGGAAGACTCATGTGACTCCTGATAAAATAATTCCACACACTTGCTCAGAAAAGTGACAAGGTTCCTGACTTGCATAAGTTGGTTATTTTTCTTCGAAAAACATCATTATTATTTACTTCACAGATACAACTTTTAACTGAAAAATCTTAATAAGCATTTTTTTTTTCAAAGAGAGAAACTGAGGCTGATGTTGCTGAGGTCTTGTGGTGACTTGTTGGCAAAGGTGTGAATGAAACCTCGACTCCCTACCTCTTTCTTCTCTTTGTCCTGCCTTTTTTATATTGATGAACAATTTTGAGGCCTCCATGCGATGTATAATTACTTAGTGGTAGAAGAGTGAGCTACAGCACAAGCAAATAGTGCAGACAGATGCTTGATGTCTGTTGACATTTCACCTTATTTAGTATCATTTAGGTTTTATACTTCATAATCAATTTTTAAAATATCCTTAAAGGTATTTTGACTTTTTGTTGTTGTTGTTGTTAATCCTCACCCGAGGATATTTTCCCATTGATTTTAAGAAAGAGTGGAAGGGAAGGGGAAAGATAGACAGAGAAACATCGATATGAGAGAGACACATCGATTGGTTGCCTCCTGCACGGGCTCCCACCAGGGCTGGGGATCGAGCCTGCAAACGAGGTACATGTCCTTGACCGGAATTGAACCTGGGGCCCTTCACTCTGCGGGCTGACGCTCTAGCCACTGAGCCAAACTGGCTAGGGCTATTTTGACTCTTTATATGATAAAATACCTTGAAATGACATATCATAATCTTTTATGGTAGAGAGATTGTCTTTAAGATGTGCTTGATATGAAATCACAGAGAAAAGAAAAAAAATCTTTTGAGTTTTAAGGGATTATGTCATGAACCCAGAATATAAGCATACTTTTAAAATCTATTAAAACCACCTCCATTTACTGTATTATATTGATCTTTGACCTAAATTGAAAAGGTGTTGCTGTTGTTTTTCCTTCCCTATAATGTTTTAAAAAAGACATTGGGCCAATGGGTATTGGACTTTAAATCGAATTATCTAACAGAAAAAAAAGGAAAAAAAAATTACTTTGGGTGTTAGGTCATGACAATAAGTAGGCACTTCCTTATGGGAGGTTGAATCATGCCCGTCTTGTTTAGTGTGTGGCTGATCGCACAGACCTACCCACCGCGGCCGCAGACTCCGCCTCCGTCTGCTGCTGCTCTGAACCCTGAGGGATCTCCTCCCAAGCTACTGAGGAGAGGGTGTAGCAGTCAGGACCGCAGTAGCACAGTAGAGCACTTTGTTCATTCTCTGATCGTGCCTTTACCTTGAACCTAAAGGCTTGGGCATCTCCGTGAGTGGGAGCCCCAGTGTGTTGCTGTGATAATGATGCCGCCATGGTTGCTTCCTCCTTGATTAAAACCTCCACGCTCTGCACTTAATACTATTCAACTATTAGGGAGTACAGGACTCGGCAATAAATTGTCAGTTGTTGTTGAAGAAAATGATTTGAAGAAATGTTTTGTAAGATTATTTCCGTCTTGCCATCCTCATCCCAGCCATTTATTGCGGACAGCTTTTCCAGGTACATTGCCACGAGATCTAGAGTCTGCATAGTGTTTTGGTGAGCTGCATTGGAGACAAAACTCTCCGGGGGTGATGGCTTCTCCAGAGAGGACCTTTGGCTTTGCACTGGCACCAGCCTGGGTTTGAATCCAAGGCTAGCCACGTTGGCTGTGCATCCGTGGGCCAGTTGACTTAACCTTGTGGGGTGTGGGCATGTGAATCTTCTAGAGTAGCCCCTCAGATGTAAGAGGTGCTTTATAAATACTACTAGAGGCCCGGTGCACGGAGTCCTGCACCGATGGCCTGGCCTGTGGGGTTTGGGCCAAAACTGTCTCTCTGACATCCCCTAGGGGTCCCGGATTGTGAGAGGGTGCAGGCCAGGCTGAGGGACCCGACTGGTGCACAACTAGGCCAGGGAGGAGCCGCAGAGGGCTCCAGGGCATGTCCGGCCTGTCTCACCCAGTCCGATCCGCCCGACCCCAGCAGCAAGCTAACATACCAATTGGAGCATCTGCCCCCTAGTGGTCAGTGTGTGTCATAGCGACTGGTCGACCGGTTGAACGAACGCCTGGGCACTTAGAATATTAGGCTTTTATTATATAGGATTCCTCATCTCTTCCCTGTGAAAGTTGTGTATTTTGCACCCATGGGAGGGCAGACTTCTTTTTCTAGAACAGGGGTGGGCAAACTTTTTGACTTGAGGGCCACAATGGGTTCTTAAACTGGACCGGAGGGCTGGAACAAAAGCATGGATGGAGTGTTTGTGTGAACTAATATAAATTCAAAGTAAACATCATTACATAAAAGGGTACGGTCTTTTATTTCAATAGTTTTATTCATTTCAAATGGGCCGGATCCAGCCCGCGGGCCGTAGTTTGCCCACGGCTGTTCTAGATGGTCGGTACACTGACAGTGAGACAAGTGCCAGGAAAGGAGTGGACAGATTCCTGTGGGATCCTCCTTTGGTGCCCTGTGATGGAATGTGCAGTGAAGCCGGGGGAGAGCACGGTGTTGGCTCCTTGTGCCCGGGAGTGCCCACTACTCCATGTTCCAAATAACACTCCTTCCTCTCTCGGCAGGTGCCCGAGATCATCAGCTCCATCCGCCACGCCGGGAGGATCGCCCGCCAGGAGGAGCTGCATTGCCCCTCGGAGTTCGACGACACGTTCTCCAAGAAGTTCGAGGTGCTCTTCTGCGGCCGGGTGACCGTGGCGCACAAGAAGGCGCCGCCGGCCCTGATCGACGAGTGCATTGAGAAGTTCAACCACATCAGCTGCAGCAGGAAAGCCGAACTTGACCTGGTCTCCCAGAACTCCGAGGCCAGCAGCCCTGCTGCGGCGCTTTCCTTCACGGATAAGTTCCGATCGGTGCTGCAGCCCGCGGGGCCCACGGAGCAGGGCCGCTGGCCCATGCGCAAGTCCTACTCGCAGCCCGGCCTGCGCTCCCTGGCCTACAGGAAGGAGTTTCAGGATGGGAGCCTGCGGAGTCACAGTTTCTTCACCTCTTTTGATGAAAACGACATTGAGAACCACCTCATCAGTGGACACAATATTGTGCAGCCAACGGATATTGAGGAAAATCGAACTATGCTTTTTACGGTAAAACATCACTAAGCCTCGTGGTCATCCCCAGTCTTGAGATAAGCAAATCTGCTTTATTGAGCGAAGAAGCTTAGTACATTGCTTTTGGATTTATGTGGAATCCATGTATTTTTATCCTCAATAATTCTTTTCTCAGGATAAAGTCCTTGCTTGAGCCCTAAGCCTTTAAAGTCATCAAGGGGAAGGATAAAGAGAATCCATTTTCTTGTATAATTTTTATCTCCCCCAACCATGCTTATAAAGATAACTTGTCAATGTGGAAGGAACACAGTTAATATGTGTAAAAGAGGCCCAGAAAGGGATTTTAAAAAATGTATAGTAATTTCAAGTCATCTGTTTCAACAAAATCTTTTTGGAAAATACTCCCTCCTTGGTATTTTTATTAATGTATAAAGCATTTATGCTTTGTTAAGCAGGGCAATTGGATTTGGAGATGACGTGATATTTGAAATTTACACCCAAACTGAAATGTTAGTTCAGCCAACGGCCTGCTCACTTTTTTCTAGAAGTTTGGTAAACTGATAATGGGCCAAACGGCAGAAAAGGAATAGGCAGGGAGGCTGTCCCTGGCAGGTGGGGTTGCTGCATGCGCTGCCCTTTCTGGGAGTCCCCTGGGTCTGAGCTGATGGGGGTGGAGCTGTCCCAGCAGGGAGCTGGCCTCTGAAGATGGAGAGAACTGATCGTTCCTTGACCCCCCTCTCTGTTGTTCCTTTGACTTAAGGTTGAGCAGAATTACCTTATCTGTCCTGTCTTGTTCTTGTGCCTGACCCAGGGTAGTAAGGAGCTGGCTACTTAGTTTAGTGCTGATGGCTGTATGCAGGTTTGCGATCAAGAGCGTGAGTCAGGGAGCACAGGGCTGACTTCTTCCCGTTTTCATCATAGACCTAGTGTACTGAAGGGTGCTGCTAGCAGTCACTCTTGTGCTTTCATCTGTATTTTTGAAAAATTTCTCTTGGAGTCATTGGGAAAGCTGCTCGGTGCATTTATTTCCAAGTACTTATTGTGTGTCCACTGCATACAGGGTCCCTTGCAATACACCGGAAATACAGCAGTGAACAAGACACGTGGTCTCCGCCCACGTGGAGTTTAGATTCTGGAAAGAGAGACCAACAACGGGTTGCAAGTAATGATCTCATTACAGTTGGGATAAATACTGCAAAGATAAGCAGAGGGTGCTGCCAGAGCCTCGGGGGGCCTGGGGCGGCTTCTTTGGGGAGGTGACTCTCACCGAGCAGAGGTTTCGGTGTGGACAACCAGCAGAGCGTCCTGGGTTCGGGGAGGTGCAGGAGAGGAGGCCCCGGGGGAGGGACGGAGCACAGACAGCAGGTGGCCATGGCGGCTCAGTCCTGGAGCGGAGTCGGCTGTGCTGACTCAGGTCAGTACGACAGGGTTAAGTTGTGCTGATGCTCTAACTTTACAAAGTCTGGTACACAGTACAGGAATGCCTAGCACATAGTAAGGACACCACAAAGGGTAGATTATTTTAACAATAATTTTAAAAGACGTAGAAAAAAAGTCATTAGCAAACTGTTTGGGACGTTTTAAAAGACAGTTTCTGTTTTCTGGGAGATTCACTTACGTAGGAGCTGAGGCGTTGCTGCTGACTTTGGCTATGTGGTTCTCCCATCGCACGGAGGACCGCCGTCTGACGTAGGCGAACGCGCTCAGTTGTCCTGCACTACCCGGAACCCGTAGGTTAAATGACAGCCTTGGAAGCGATTTTACACGGTGAGGTAGTCAGAATGTTATAGACGCTTGCCCCTCTTATCCTTTATTCCCATGGGTCATGAAATGAGAAAGTTTATGAGATAAATTTGAATTCAGCTTTCATGAGAAGCTGGTTGCTTCTTTTGTTTGTCTTTTAAGATTGGTCAATCTGAAGTTTACCTCATCAGTCCTGACACCAAAAAAATAGCATTGGAGAAAAATTTTAAGGAGATATCCTTTTGCTCTCAGGTAAGCTCAAATGGGTTATTGGCTCAATTGCAGTGGAATTTTTACTAAATTATTTCCATATCTGTCCATCAATGGAAGTGCTAAAGGTCACAAGATGTCTGTGTTCTAAGTACTTGATTTGTGTTCTTGCATTTCTTCCTCCTTGGATATGTTAAGGCAAAATGTGAATGTAATTTCGAAATTAAGGATTTTGTTTTTAGAAACAATAACCTACTGGAGAAAATAGGTCTACTTTTCTTTTTTTCAATTATTGGTGGTAATATTCCCAAGAGGTGATTCTCATGTGTATATGTGTATATCTGTGGGCATGTTGTTTTTTTTTTTTTTCCTAACGTTTTATATATATATTCATACATATCTTTAAATAGATACTTATTTCTTCTTTACAAACTTAATAACTTTATTGGGTACCAATAACATGATTTCTTCTTTCTCAAAATAGAATAGACAGCGATTATTTTTGAGGATGTTTTGCTCAGGATAATGTCTACTTGAGTTCTTTCTTGATAATCTCCCAGCGAGTTCCATAGATTTTGGAGAATCGATCAGTTATAAATCAGCTGTGCCAGTTTTATTCAGGATCTTCCTCACAACTATGAGGTCACTCAAGATACTGTTTGACGACTTTTTAAACTCTGACTTCTCATTTCCTCACTTCCATTTTCTCTTAATAAGATGATGAAGATCTCATTGTTTATTGATTTATAACATGATCTCCTTAAGGCTTCAAAGGGATTTCCCCCCCCCCAAATGTGAAACTAAAGACTGTTCCTCAATAGATCAAATAGGGGACCATTTACAAAGGAACAGTTTTTCCAAACCCTGTTCCCCCGAGAAGGAACCTCTAGCATGTGCTGCACTTGCTGCTGGAGAACACTGAGCAGCCAGCCAGTCCCTGATTGCCACGGGTCAGAAAATATCTGATCGAACGTGAGATTCTCCGCAGAACTTTTATCTTGATTTGCTGCTATTTCTATGGAAATGGTAATGCTTAATGTTGGCTTTTTCACGTGATGGTTTTATGATTTCCTCAAGTTTACGTAATCGCCTGACCTTCCCGCGGTCCGCACTCAGACCTCCGCCGGCGGGTGCTCTCAGGAGACCCCACACATGAATGTCTATGGACCATGTCCTCTCTGTATTAAGGTGCCTCATAGCTGATACGTTCAAAACAAGTTTAGATATTAATATTTATTAGAAAGGGCTCTTAAAAACAACGACGGAGCCCTGGCCTTAACATCTTATGTTTAAAAGCTTCTCTTTCCTTTGTGATTATAATTTCTGGCTCCTTCTTCATACCAGTTTACTTCAGTATTTGCCCATTTATTGTATAAGTACACGCACGTTTTTGAATCTTTTAACCTTTGTGTCTGTGTGTGTTTGCATGTGTACATGTACGTGTGTGTGTGTGCATGTGTGTGTATGGTTGTGTTTCTTCATTAATCTGTGGTCTGCTTTTGATTTTCCATGTAGCTTTTTATTCTTTAATACCTCCGAAAAATTCTCATATTTCTGTGTCAACTTTTCTTTCCTTCCTTTTAGTGCTAAAATGAGCATTAAAAACTCCAGGTGTGAGATCTTATTGTGGGAATAATCAGAGTAGCATTTGAGAAGAACAGTGTTCATCATCATATTTGAGAGGGGTTTTTAGATGTTTACCTGAAGTAATAACGTGATGGTGCCCTTTCATGTGGCGTGGTGTAAATTGGCAGTTGCCTTCCTGGCAGCCATGCCTCTTTCGGATTCAGCTCAACGTTCCTTCCTCTCTCCCACCTCCCACAGGGTATTAGACACGTGGACCACTTCGGGTTCATCTGCCGGGAGTCGTCGGGAGGCGGCGGCTTCCATTTCGTCTGTTACGTGTTTCAGTGCACAAACGAGGCTCTGGTAAGCCGGGCGGGCAGCGCTCACGTGAACCCTTAGCGACGAGGACTTTCAACCTCATGGATTTTTCTTTCCTTAGCAAAACCGCAGTCTCATTGACATACTGTTATTTGGCTTTACTATTCTTTCATGACTATTTAATTAGCACGTATCTGAGATTCACTTGGGTGTGCATTTTCCGTTTTCATTATTTTTTAAGAACTGGCTCGCCTGCACCCCCTGGTTTAGCAATTTTAAAATGTCATTTTGGACTTTTGGTCAGAGGAATTGGCTTTTTCACTCCGTAACTAATTGGTGCTTTTAGTTTTTCTCGTATCCCCTGTAAGAGCCCTGAGCATCTAGGCCAGTGGTTCTCAACCTTCCTAATGCCACGACCCTTTAATACAGTTCCTCATGTTGTGGTGACCCCCAATTTCATTGTTACAAATTGAACATAATTAAAGCATAGTGATCAATCACAAAAACAATATGTAATTATATATGTGTTTTCCGACGGTCTTAGGCGACCCCTGTGAAAGGGTCGTTCGACCCCAAAGGGGTCGCGACCCACAGGTTGAGAACCGCTGATCTAGGCAGTGTTTCTCAGTTGGTCGGTCATCCTAGCAGTTATGACTGTTACCTGCCAACCTGTGACTCATGGTCCAGAAAACTCGCAAAATACTAAGTCTTCCCGCAGAGTCCCGAATGCGGAGCCCGCTCACGCTAAGTGGACCTTTCGCTGGCTACGTCTCTCTCCTCTCTGACCAGGTGGATGAGATCATGATGACGCTGAAACAGGCCTTCACGGTGGCTGCTGTGCAGCAGACGAGAGCACCCGCCCAGCTGTGCGAGGGCTGCCCCCTGCAGGGCCTGCACAGGCTCTGCGAGCGCATCGAGGGTGAGTAGGGCCCCTTCTGCAGGAGGTGAAGGCCCGGGAGCTAGATGACCTGCACTCGCTGACAGGTTCCTCCCGATGGAGCCGTAGATTAGACACTGGGCTGTCCGGTGCAGGGAATGTGTTCCGTGTGTCAGGGCTTGTGCCAGGTGCGTGCGATTCGAGCATAGTGGCCGTACCTTTTACACTCCCATCAGCCATTTCTCCGCGTCCTTGCCAACACTTGTTGCTTTTTGCTTTATTCTTTTTGATAACCACCTCAATGGGTGTGAAGTGGTATTGCTTTCCCCTTTTAAGTGAGCTAAATGGACAGTTTTCATCTTAAGGGTTTTGAAGGTTCATTTTCTGGCATTATAATGCTCTTTAAAACAAATCAAAATGATTAGTATTTCTTACTGTGTGTTCCTGGTTGTTACTATTTGCTGACATTATACGAAACATATCTAGGAACAAGAGACGTTGGGCTTTAACTAGAGATCCCATCTGAGAGGATCATAACCCTTTCCTTGGTGGTTTTCAAGATAAGGTGAATGAATGGTGACGGAAATGCCCCTTCGGAGCTGACTAAGGGGTCCGCAGTGACTTTGGCCTGGAAGATAAAGCAGGTTGTGATCGTAGGCACTGGAAGGGTTCCAGAGTTAGGGTAAGGCTTTCCTAGGTCTGGCTTAGCATTCAGAACATTACATCTGAAAAGTGTACTCAGGGTGGGAATTTTGCTGCTGAGGTTTGGGAATTATCATTTAATTCATCTTTCACCGGATGAAATCTCAGCAAAGCAGGAAGACGTGTTGTTGTGTAAACATCCCTCGCGTAGGCTGGGGAAGGTATGCTTTGCCTGCATGATGGGCGCCTTTCCGGAGTGCAGAGGGCACCGTTAGAGGCGGAGGGGCTCATTACTCTATGAACAGTCGGAGGCCCTTGCTGTTTGCTCTGTTGTATTCTGATCAGTACAATGAAGTGAGTGGTTTATTAAAGCTCATGCTCTCATGTTCCCATAAGAGCAGTTCTAATGGGAACATAGAGTTTGGCCAATGACTCCATAAACTGTGGAGAGGACCAATGACATGGCCACAAAAGCAAAAGACTTCAAGACTGCGTTGTGTTAACGGATGTAGCCACGTTAAGCCCCGGAATGTATAAAATACAATAAATAGCCGTGGCCAGTTTGGCTCAGTGGATAGAGCACCAGCCCACGGACGGAAGGGTCCCCGGTTCTGTTCCCGTCAAGGGCATGTACCTCAGTTGCAGGCTTGATCCCTGGCCCCAGTCGGGGTGCGTGCAGAAGGCAGCTAGTCGCAGTGTGTCTCTCAGATTGATATTTCTCTCTCTCTTGTCTCCTCCCAACCTTTCCACTCTCTCTAAAAAAAAAAAATCAATGGAAAATACCCTTGGGTAAGAATTAACAAGAAATAAAAATAAAATACAATGCAATAAATATACAGCACACATCGACGATGTTGGCCGCACCACTCTGCGGTGCACTTACAGCACGTGAGCGGTGCAGGCGTGCTCGGGTTGGATTTGAACTGTGTGCCACTGCTCGTAGGATTCACATCGGGTTTTGCTTATCTTAGAGTTCAGAGGAGCATTTTCAGAATTACTAGTGAATTGTGCTTTCACTAAAAAGAAAAACAGGTGAACGGAGGTTTCCCTTTGCACTCTAAGCGAACTCGCCTCGGCTGAGCCAGGCCATGCGTCAGAGCTCCCGGGAGAGAGCCTTTTCCGCAGTGACAGTGTGAAGGCGGGCGCCCCATGGGGGCTGCGGGGTTGTGGTTTGGGAATTCCCTTGACTCTGGTTACCTCTTCCTTGCCTCCCTTTCCCCCTCTAAAGCCTTTTGGCATCACGTAGGGAGTGCCCAGGAGGCGCTGAAGGTGGTGCGAAGCCACGGGGAAGGTGTGGGTAAACCGGCAGACGGGGGTGGCCCCCTCTGCTTTGAGTTGGTTGGGCAGGAAGGACCGAATGCGCCAAGGCATCCTGAAGACAAGGATGAAACTTGGCGAAGGATCTCCTCATGCCTGCTGAGTATGAGGAACAGTCTCCCTGCGTGATTTCACCGAAGACTGCGAGAAGCGTACGATTCGTCTAACTCTTCTTAGCGTTTGGGTTTCTCTCCGCCTGGGGATGTCTCAGCAAACAATACAGTGTGTCCAAACTAGGAAGCTGACACTGTCCGAGACATCTCCATATGCAAGGAGGAGTGTTGGTTAATAATTAGTGAGGGCTTATGTTACTGTAAATTTCAACACCAACAGTAAAATCAACTATTTGTCTCCCTGCCTTCTAAGACCTGACATCTTGCAGGGGAGCACCTGAATTTGCTCTGACAAAACCCATCTGGCCTTGCTGCGCTCTTGCCCACCTGTGAATTGACTCCCTTGGTACCGATGCCCTCATGTGTCAGACCACCTGGCTCTCCGGGCAGAAGGGAGGCAGCGGGGGTTTCAGAGTGATCCCCGGAGGCAAACAGACATGGCTCAGATTCTAACTCTGTCCCTTACTCAGCTGACGACCGTGGGCAGAATACTTGACTTCACCGCGCCTCAGTTTCTCCATCTACACCTTTATTACTAGAAATAGTGCCCACTCCAAGGATTGTTCTGTGGATCAAATGAGATTTTGCGTGTGGTATTGAGTGAAGTGGCACAGTAATCACTGAAGAAATATTGGCAAAAGAAGGTGGGAGGGACTTCCTGGAAGCTGAGGTGGCTGCAGCAGTGTGAGTAGGGGCCGCAGGAGGGAGGGGCCCTGGGGCAGGCTTGGCTGCTGTTGGCTCCTGACCTTGGACAAGTCACCTGTCTTCTCTAGACCCCAGCAAGCTCACTTGTGAAACAGGCCTGATTTCCAAGTTCCTGGTCCAGATTTGCGAGGTGTCCCCTCTTAGCTGTATCGGTGCATCATGGCTCTGAGGCTCTGGAGGACAGGCCAGACGCCTGCCCGGGACTCACTCTTGGGAGGAGAAGAGAGTGGCAGGTGGATAAGGAGAAGGTCATCCTTGGACTAAAAGCACAGGCATCCCTCAGAGATGTTACGGGTTCAGGCCGGACCACCACAATACAGCAAATATCACAGTAAAAACACGAGTCACACAATATTTTTGGTTTCCCATGCATATAAAAAAGTTATGTTTACACTATATTGTGTACTAGCATTATGTCTGAAAAAAAAACACAATGTACATACCTCAATTAAAAATACTTTATTGCTAAAAAATGCTAACTAATATCTGAGCCTTCAGCAAGTTGTAATCTTCTTGCTAGAGGTTGCCACAAACCTCCAGTTTGTAAAAAATGCAATATCGTTAGAGGGCAGTGAAGTACAGTGAAACGAGGTATGTCTATACGTGCAGTGGTTGTTTTCCTTTCATTCTAAAGTTCATCGTGTGGTACATTTATCTCTGGCACCAAGAAAAGGCAAAGCAGGGTCTGAGCCATGTCTGTGTGGAGAAAGAACGTTCTGAACTATTAGACACTAATGGGCACTAAAACTATGGCTTTATTTTTATAACTTTTTCTCAGAATCCTCTGAAATGGTTATTGTCCTAAGAATATGAATAAGCAAGCGGTGGTAAGAGGAAAGTGGTTAGTCACATGATTCAATTTTATGTGTGGGAGTATAACATGCAAGAGAAATATGTTGGTCAGTTTTCAAATGGAGTAGTAGTTATTTCTCCTTAAGAAAAGATGTTGAGGGCAAATACTCATGAGAATTGATCATTTTCTTTTTTTAATTTTTAAAATTGAGAGAGAGAAACGTCGATTTGTTGTTCCACTTATTTATGCATTCATTGGTTAATTCTTGTATGAGCCCTGATTGGGAATTGAACCCACAACATTGGCATATTGGGATGATGCTCTAACCATTGAGATACCAGGCCAGGTTGAGAATTTATCGTTTTCTGAGGACAACATTCTGATTGTGTGAGGGGTTTTAACATGGAGCAGTGGCCAAAAAGTAATTTGGAACCACATAGACCTGAGGTAGAGTCAAGGTTGTGGTTTTTGGAAATTATATAAACTCTCTGGGTCTCAGTTTCCTTACCTGTAAAATGGGGATAATAAAGCCCTCTTCATCAGAGCATGGAATGATACGATGCAGGCCTGATGTTTAAGACAGTACCTGGTCCATTGAGGGCTCAACGAAAAACTGTTTGTTGTTGTCATTGCCATTGTCAACTTTATTGGTTAGGATTTCCATAAAATTTTGAAGGCCTGCAGTGGGTAGGTAGAATGTCAAGAGAATAAGTATAGACGTGTTCACTCTACCTCATAACTTTTACATGTTTTCATCACTCTCTCTCTCTCTTTTTTTTTTTCTCTTAATAGGAATGAATTCTTCTAAAACCAAACTAGAACTCCAGAAGCACCTGACAACGTTAACCAATCAGGAGCAAGCAATGGTTTTTGAGGAGGTGCAGGTACAGTGGGAGCGGGCCTTTCCATACGGGAAGAAGAGTCAGCAGCCCCTTGTGAAATGTCATTTTTGAGCAATAGGAGACCAGAGCTGTCACGGCCCCTGGGAAGTGACCCCAACTCCCCTTGGTTTAAGCTGGAACAGCCCCGTGGAAGGGCCAGGTCGGAATTGCAGATTCACATCACATCTTGGTTTTCTCGTGAAAACAACAAGACCAGCGGGGGGGGGGGGGGGGGGGGGGGGAGTGCTCTCATAAAAATACCATTTCAGAGTGAGAGAAATAACAAAGTGGAAGAACCTCAGCCGGGGACAGGGACCTGGACTTCGTCCCTGAGCGCTCCTCTGCTCCGTGGGAAACCTCTGCCACCCTTCTCCGCGGAGTTTGGCTCCGAGTAGGGAGTTGCAGGAGATGCCGTTTTCTACATGACCTTGAACATGAATTGTTCCTCCTCTCTTATTTTTTTTAGTTTTTTAAATAAATGTAGATGACGTTGTCTCCTCAGAATGGTAGACTATGTCAAACCTAAACAAAATACAGAAAAAAACCAAGCTCGCTGTGCGCCTGCACGCCTGGCACCTGTTCTTTCTGACTCTTTAATGAGCCCATCAGAAATGTCATGTCTGCTGTGGCCCAGGGCATTTTCTGTGGCTTTCTGGCATTTTTTCTAGGGAGTTAAGCACATCAAAACAAAGAATAAATATCTCTTCTTGACGGGGAGGAGAGCGGCAGAGGTCCTGCGAATAGAGGGGTCGTTAGACCGTAGGAGAAGGCTCCAGCCTCCCTCCTCGCTGGGGGAAAGGCTCAACAGTTAGGGCCCTGGTCTGTTTCCTGTGAGTGTGAAAAAGTAACCACATGTTAAAGCTCTCTTTATCCCCGTGCTCCTCCCGCTGTAAGGCTGGCATATGTAGTAGAAGGAAAGCACAGAAAGTTTTCTAACTTTCGTAGATAGCTTAGGATGTCATCTTCATGACTTTTAATTGGCTTTACATTTTTCTTCCGAATCCACTTGAGACACACCAATTTGCTTTCCCTTGAAGGATCTTTAGAGTTCCAAGTACACAGCATGTTAGATTGAATGTGATTTGCATGTGGAGTTCATCAATGGGTAAATGGGTGAATGGGTGGTAATTTGCTTCTGATAATTAATGCACTTACAAAGTGCTATCAAGTCACTTTGGGGAGCACCCTGCCAGCCAGCGTAGAAGAGGCATATTCCTCCCCAGTGTGAGTTTTCTTTATGTAGACATCACTGTGTAAGTAGCTTTCCCCCAAACAGTGCGATGCATCAGGATAGGAAACTCACATGTTTTTTTCTGCTGCAATGAGAAGTGTCTAATGGATATAATTTGAGATTCTCTTTGACCTGCACAAGTTTTGAGACACTGAGTACATATGGCAAAGAGGCTGTAGAGAAAAATGGTGACACAGTTTTACTTTTAAAAAGTGCACTCAGTTAGCCTGGCTGGTGTGACTCAGTGGGTTCAGCGTCGTCCCATGCACCAAGAGGTCGCTGCTTCCATTCCTGGTCAGGGCACATGCCTAGGTTGTGTGGTGGTGGTGGTGGGGGGAGGTGGGGGGTGATGGAGGGGTGTGCAGGAGGCAGCCGATCAATGTTTCTCTCTCATCGATGTTTCTGTCTGTCTCTCTCTCTCCTTCTCCCTTCCTCTCTTTCTAAAATCAATAAAAACATTTAAAAAATAGTGTACTCAGTTAATCTCCTAAGGCCCCTAGAAGACTAGTTTTTTTTATTGGTTTAAATACCAAAGGGAAGTCATGGGTTACAAAAGCCAGCTCAGACTTTGTCCTCCGTCAGTGTATGTGTGGCTCTTTCTTGAATGATACGAATTTGACATGATCTCTTTAGTCTAATGGCTTATTGATCGTCTTGTTGAATTATTTCCTCAATGCCCATTTGTAGTTTTTGTAAAACATTTTACGAACCATGTCATTGGTTTCTTTTTAGGCAGCAGTGCCTGCTAATGTGTTTGAAAAATCATACGTTTCAGAAACTTCATAAAGAAGAAGGTGCTTTGTGGGGTCACGAGTCCTCTTATAAGGACAGTGGCTCATCTCTTCCTCCACACCGTCCTTCCTGGAGGTGGTTTGTTTCTGCAGAACTCTCCCACGGCACACTTCCATAAGACAAATATTATTACTAGTATTATTGAAATGTGTGGCACGTGATCACCTAAATAGTTATTGAAGCATACGCAATCATGTTTTTGTAAATAAATGCTCAATGTAAAATAAAATGCAACCCAAACAGAACCATGAAGAAAGAGAGATGAGTGGTTATCGTGCAGATGGTGCCGGAGATGATCACTGCGGCAGACATGCCGACCTGGGGCCAGTGGGCGCCGGGGCCTGTTAGCCTTCCTCTCTCTAGGAGGACTCCTGACGACACTGCACAGCCAGCCACATGTCTGTCTGTCTGGTCTGTTTGAAATGTGTAGTATTGAGTGAAGTCGCACAGTCATCACTGAAGAAATACATCGAACATTTCCAACTGGGCAGGCGTGACAGTGACTCCCAGAGCCTTGCTGGCGTCCCAAGCAGCCGCCTGCTGGGGAAGGTGCCGCGTCCAGGCTGGCCCTCTGAGTCTGAGAAACTGCGTTGAGGCCCAGGGAGGTGAGGGAAGGAAATGTCTCCAGATCCAACTCTCTTCATCTGAGTGCCCGTGTTTCAGGGGATGACTGCACTCGTCCTGAGTAGATAAATCAAGTGCATGTACATTCAGTAGGTGTCCATGATGGGCTAAACAACACGGCTTTTCGCCAGTTAAAGACCAATGGGTAGAAGAGCCGTGTTTCATTTTGTAAAGAAAATGGATCACCTCCTTTGGATTTCCTATGGTCTTAAAATGATTTCTTATAGGATTCGATTGCCATTTTTTAAAAAGGTGTCAGAGTGTCCTGTCCCGGTGGGCGCGGCCGTTTTTAGTCATTGGCTCCAAAGACCTTAGGCGCCCGGAGCGCTCAGCGTTCTCAGTCAGCGCTGAGAATTTATCTTTAATTGCATTTACCACCAGTTTGTAGGCTCCTCATAGAAATAAGGTTAAGACACAGGTAACAAAGTTGACTTTGTTACTTAACAGGCAGTTCATTGTTTTCTTATTGTTGTTGTAAACATTGCAGTATAACGTAACTGGAGGAAAGTGCACACGTCAGTGGTGTGTAGTTCAGGGGATTTCTTATAAGTTGACCCACCTGTGCACTGGCACCGAGATTTTAAAAAAGCAGGAGCATTGCCAACTCCTCAGAACCCTGCCCCGGCCCCTGACACCGTAGATTAATTTTGAACAAGCAAGTTAATTTTTGACTGAAAAGCGATGTGACCCAGCTTGGTTCCGCACTGTTCTCCCACTCTGACTTGTCTCTCTGACCCGTGAATGTCTATACAGTGAAACCACCTTTCGGAAACCACGATTTGCCACGGGGGAGGATGGTAACGCCATGTGGGAGGTAGGGGGAGAAGACACCTCGCTGATCATTTAACTCAGTGGAATGGTAGCCCCTACCCATGTTGTTTTAAGGAAGGGTGTATTCTTCACCTTGTACGCCACCATGAAAACGTGCTTCCTGCTCTAGTGACTTTCCTGTGATGTTTAACAAGCCCGTGACGCGGCCTCTGGCTCTCAGCTTCAGTTTTTTATGTGCAGCAACTGTGCTCAGCTGAGCTCTCGTTTCTGGCCTTCTGAATAGTTCCTTGCATGTAGCCTTTGAGGAAAAGAAAATGCATCCATAATGCTCTTTATTCCTGCATTCTTAGCCTTTTTTTATATATATTTTGAAATAATGATTATGAAGAATTTCTCCAAGAAAAATACACATTTTCTTGTGAGAGTAGCTGGAAGTTTGCATTAAAAGATGCAAGAGAAGAAAGAGTGGGTCAGCCCTCGCTGCCTGCGTCTGCTGAGGGGCCTCGTGTAATTCCTTTCTGCTCCTCTTTTCTGAACTTTAAAAAAATAAAATGGACTTTATTCTTTAGAGTGGTTTTAGTTTTTCAGTAAATTGGGTGCAAAGTACAGAGTGTTCCCATGTAAGCTCCCACCTCTGTGCCTCCCACCCCAGCCAGTTTCCCCTGTTAATAACATGTGGCCTAAGTGAGGTACATTTGTTACCATTGATGATGCATTATTATTCACTAAAGTCCACAGTTTACTGGGGCTCACTCTCGGTGTGGTACATCTGTAGGTTTGACAGATGTATAAAGATGTGTGTACACCATAATGGTATCATCCAGAACTGTTTCACTGTCCTAAAATTCCTCTGCGTTTTGCCTGTCCCCCCCCCCCCCCATCTCCAGTCCTCCAAACCCCAGGCAACCACTGATCTTTTTACTGTCTCTGATTTCGTCTTTTCCACATTGTCATATAGTTGGAATCATACAGACTATAGTCTTTTCAGATTGGCTTCTTTCACTTAACAATATGCATTTAAGGTTCCCATAGGTCTTCTCATGGCTTGATAGCTCTTTTCTTTTTAGCGCCGAATAATATTCCATTGTCTCGAATGGAACAGTTTATCCATTCAGCCACTGAAGGAGGACATCTGGGTTGCTTATAACTTTTGGCTATTATAAATCTGCTGTAAACATTTACATGCAGGTTTCTGTGTGGACATAAATTTTCAACTCATTGGGGAAAATTCTAAGCAGTGCAATCGCTCGATTGTATGATGAGAGTGTGTTTAGTTTTGTAAAAACCTGCCAGCTGTCTCTCAAAGTGGGTGTGCCATTTCCACTCCCACTGAAAGCGAATGAGTTGCGATAGCTTCCTGGGCTTTTAAACTCACAGATACGCATTACCTCTCTGGGTCAGCAGGGCTAAGCTGGGATTGTGGTCCTCACCACCACTTTCCTTTACTGAAGATCTGATGGGACCTTCCCCTGGAGAAATCCACTTGTTGAATAAAACGTGTATAGTTTTATAACATCAAGGTTCATGGCTTGGAATCCAGGTGGGGAGCATCTGTTCTAGCTTCTAAAATTTTTAATCCTTAAATCTGAAATTTGAAAGAACAGAAGGTCCTCAGTAATAATAATAATAATAATAATAATAATAATAATAAAAACCCTTCTACTTATTCACTGTATTTTCCTTGAGTAACAGGAACAACTTATTTTTTAAAGTCACCTTTTTCTTTAAGAGATCGAATGTCAGAAGGTCTAGGTTAGTGTTGCCGTTTCTTCTAAAGCCCATGGCATGAAGGGTGAAATCATTGTTCCTTCGTTAGCTGGGGGAGGAGGTTGCTAAGAGTAGCATTGACCCAGACTCGGATGCTTGTAGAGTGGGTCCATTTATCGCACCCCGACTTTGCTTCAAAGGGCAGGCTACAAGTTTGGAGTAGGGGGAGAGGTCCAGGAGCCGGACAATGGATAATTGTCCATCTAAAAAAGATGCATTTCCGAAGTTTACGGACTAGACGTTTTGTGTATCTCCAGAGCAATTCAGCTTTGTTTTCTTCATATTCAGTGAAAAGAAGCCATTAAGTTGGATGGTCTTTTAAAAATGAGCTCTGACTGGTAATTTCAAATCCAAAGACTGGGAGCTGGAGGAGACCGTTAGTGTGTCTCGTCCACCAGCTTCATTTGAATGAACGAGGAAGCTAAGATTAAACTACGCCTTTGGTCACACGTCCAGGCAGCACCCCGGGCCTCCAGGTCCTCATTCCGACTCCCCTGTGCTTTGCCACCACCCTGCCTGAAAAGTAAAGGATGTGGAGATAATTTTTTAAATAGAAAAAAAAAATGGAGTCAGTGCCATGACATTTTGTGTGCGAGTTCATGCCTTGTGGCAGAAAGTGCTTGCTGACGAACACATGTGACATATAGAACCATGACCCTGGGCCCAGTTGCCCTTTTTCTTTCCATTTCACTAACCATCAGAGTTTATAAATGTGTAGCCACGATGGCTCTTTGACCTCTGGGTGTTTACACAGATTTTGTTCTTTTCTTCTGTTTTCAAGACTATTTGTTTATTAAACATTTTGACTATGCCTCTATCTGATATGAAATATTTATTTTAGGCATAAGGACATCAGAGGGCAAAAGCTAAATCTGGCCCACCAGCTAGTTCCACTGTTTCTTTTAAAAAATTCTCTCCCTTTTTGGGATCATTGGTGCCCCCTAGTGAGATGATTGGGTAAAAACAGTAATTAATGAATGGAAGGACACAGTTGGTTAGCATTTCCTAAGGAATGATTTAAGCAGTTTTGTTGACAATAAAAAAATAAATGTAATATCTTCTTCTTTTTCTTTTTTTTTTTTAAGAAATTAAGACCAAGAAATGAGCAGCGAGAGAATGAATTGGTTATTTCTTTCCTGAGATGTTTATATGAAGAGAAGCAAAAAGTTCACATCCATATTGGGGAGGTAAAGCAGGTATGGCATTTTTTTCTCTTCTCGCAATTTTACCAGGACACGGTGTAAAAAAGTCCTGAGGATGTGCCGAAGCTCTGGAAGCTGTTTTTGCCCCTGTGTTTTATTTGCATTTATTATACACGTAGGGAAGATTTGGGAATGTTCAGACTGTGCTGGAGACGGTGAGGCGTTTCTGCGCCATAGAGGGGGTGGAGTGACGTTTCAGAGAACCTACTGCCACCGGCTCCCCAATCGCAGGGAGCCAGCCTCTGCCACCTCCCCTCTCTCCCTGGCAGAGTGGGAGCGACATCACAAAGCACCTTCGGAGCTGCATGAAGTGCGTGGAGGGTCTTCGTAGCATGCGGGCTGTGTGCATGTAAGCTAGCGCCACTCAAAGCCAGACAGAACCCTAGAGAGCCTGGTCCTGTGCTATTCAGACGGGAAACGTCCACTGATCCCCTTTCACACGATGGAGGTGCCCAGTCTGCCGCCCTCTGCTCCTGTCCACAGCTTTGTTTGGCTTTCCTGTTTGAGGGGTGCTGGGTCGTGCTGGCGCTGCCTGCGGGTCTCTGTCTTTGAGGAGCTGCCAGTTTGGGGTTCAGTACACGCAGTGCCGTGGACCACTTTTGTGTGTCTTTTGGATTCTGTGGAAGTGAGTTCATAATAACCAGTATTGCTTCAAAACATGCATTTCATATTTTTTTAAAAATATATTTTATTGATTTCTTTTTTTACAGAAAGGAAGGGAGAGGGATAGAGAGTTAGAAACATTAATGAGAGAGAAACATTGATCAGCTGCCTCCTGCACACTCCCCACTGGAGATGTGCCCGCAACCAAGGTACATGCCCTTGACCGGAATTGAACCTGGGACCCTTCAGTCCGCAGGCCGACGCTCTATCCACTGAGCCAAACCGGTTACGGCTGCATTTCATATTTGTTTAAATTATGTGTAGGCCAGTAAATCTAGAGAAAAATCAGTGAAGGATGTTTAAGAAAAATACTCAATTTTCCAAAAGTACGTAATAGCCTTTTAAAAAGAACACCAATGCTCGTTCTAAAGGCGCTGCCCCATAAACAGCCCCTGCTTTTCTGGTAACCTCACCATGACGCAGTTTTACTGGGATGCACGCGTAGCAGCTCTCCCCATTGAGTTTCTACCCTCCTGAACTCTCAGAGCTCACGTACAGTGTCTGGCAATGTTTTTAATCTCATTGGCCAGCTATCGGCTCCCTCAGCAGTGGTGCGAATGCCAGTACACTGTCTGTGTCCTTGGCCTTTGACCTTTGTGGTTGACATTCCTCCCTTCCACACACCCTTCAGATGGTGTGTGCGCCTCCTGTCCACTTTGGGATGGGTCACTCCATCTAAGTTTTCAGTTAATTCTCTAGTTCCATTTTCAACCTATTTGTTCTTATTTCTATTGCTCCCCCCGCCCCGCCCCCTGCTTTTGTACCATTAATAGTTTTTCCTTGTTCTGATTTCCCCCCCTAACTTGTTCCAACAGGAAATTGGTCATTTTGAGATGATTTGTAACTGCTAGAGGGAAATAAAGCACTTAGGGTGGATGGAAAGTTTTGACCTTCAATGGAATACTATGCTGCGGTAAAAAAAAAGGGAACTCTTGCCTTTTGCAACAGCATGGATGGAACTGGAGAGCATTATGCTAAGTGAAATAAGCCAGTCAGAGAAAGATAAATACCACATGATCTCACTCATTTGTGGATTATAGAGAACAACATAGACTGATGAAAAGGGACAGACCCAAAGACTGAGAAACAGCGATCAGGCTATCAATCCCCAGAAGGAAAGTAGGGGAGGGCGGGGGTAAGGGGAAGAGATCAACCGAAGGACTTGTATACATGTATATAAGCCAAACCAATGGACATGGACAACAGGGGGATGGGAGCATGAGTGTGTGTGTGGGGGGGAGGTTGGGGGTTAATGGGGGGGGGGTGAGGACACATTTGTAATACCTTAACTAATAATAATAATAATAATAATAAAAAAAGAAAGTTTTGACCTTCGTGCCAGTTCACTTTCAAGGAATAGGTAGTATCTTTATGATTTGGGCATAGATTAGTCCAGTGGAGAAATATATTTAATAGTTTTTTTCCATGTGAAAAACGTCAGATAATTGAATGTGAAAGAGACCAAGCCTCAGCACGTGGAACTGGCGCCTGGGCAGTACTTTCTCTGGAGGCTCCTAAACATTCCGTCACCCAGGAGGCTCACGTCTGCCTGCAAAGAAGACACCCTGGTCCCAGATGTGTTTGGGTGTCCCCAGCATCATCTTCAAGAGAGAAACTTCTAGATGCCTATTTTAAAATAAACAAGGGACAGGTTATTTTCTGAACGTGAATTACTTTCTAAACAGGCATTAATTCCTAAGTGTGAATTATTTTCCAACTATATTTGAATTGTGTTGATAGACATACAAAACCTCTCATTAGGTGGGAAAGGAATGGAAGCATTGAGTGCAGGGAGATGCTTACGGCCGGGTTTAAAAGGAGAAAAACACAAATGTAGGTTTTCTTCTGTCTGCTACATAGTACTAGGCTTTTTAAAAATATATATATATTATTGATTTTTTACAGAGAGGAAGGGAGAGGGATAGAGAGTTAGAAACATCGATGAGAGAGAAACATCCATCAGCTGCCTCCTGCACACCCCCTACTGGGTATGTGTCCACCCAAGGTGCATGCCCTTGACTGGAATCGAACCTGGGACCCTTGAGTCCTCAGGCTGACGCTCTATCCAGTGAGCCATATCAGTTAGGGCAAGGCTTTTAGCCAATGTTTTCTTCATGTATCAAAACAATACACTCTAGCCCTAGCTGGTTTGGCTCAGTGGATAGAGTGTCGGCCTGCAGACTGAAGGGTCCCAGGTTTGATTTTGGTCAAGGGCACATGCCCAGGTTGCAGGCTTGATCCCCAGTGAAGGGCATATAGGAGGCAGCCGATCAATGATTCTCTCTCATCATTGATGTTTCTATCTCTCTCACTCCATTTCACTATGAAATCAATAAAAAAAAATTAAAAAAAAACAACAATCGCCGTGACTGGTTTGGCTCAGTGGATAGAGCGTTGGCCTGCGGACTGAAAGGTCCCGGGTTCGATTCCAGTCAAGGGCATGTACCTTGGTTGCAGGCACATCCCCAGTGGGAGGTGTGCAGGAGGCAGCTGATTGATGTTTCTCTCTCATGGATGTTTCTAACTATCCCTCTCCCTTCCTCTCTATAAAAAAATCAATAAAATATATTAAAAAACAACAACAACAACAATCCACTCTAAATGCTTCCATTTTATGAAAACGCGTGTTATGGGTTTGAAAGCACATCCACGGTTTCTTAACTTTGTGAGTGAACAGGTGTCGGTCAAAGGCAGTCCCAGGAGGCCTCCCTTTGCTCTGGAGGCTGCTGAGAGTCAGGACAGGCGCTTGTTCTTGGTAAATGATTGCACAGGACCGGTTGCAACAAGTAAGGCACCTGCCCACGATGCGTGATGCTAAGCAGGCACTGGGAATTTGTTGAGTGCACCTGTAAGTTCAGGTGTGTGCTTCCCATGGGCCTGCCTGCTGATCATTGCTCACGCATTCATTCCTCAGCAAGCAGGTATGGGTTGTGCAGAGCATGCTCAGTGTACTCAGTGGTAATCCCCCTTCTTGAAGTTCTGAGCTATGCCATTCTTTGAACATATGTGCTAATTCTCACAGAAGTAAAACTCTGATGACCGGACAAAGCCGAATGGAGTTCTGATCAGAATCGTTTCTCTTTTATGCTTGGAAAAATGTATAACATTCATTGGCGAATTAGGATTTCATTATGTCAAAGAAGACGTAAGGTCTTTGACCAGCAAATAACTGAATAAAATAAAAAATACTTAATCACAATTGGAATCAGAGGAAGACAAGTTGAGATATTCATACCCAGGCCGCTGGCAGAAATTTAAAAATCTGACATTATCACGTAAAGGTGAACTCTCATTTGCTGATGCTTGGAGTATGAATTGGTACCATTTTAAGGGAGAGAAATTTGACAGTATCTAGTGTAGCTGAAGATGCATAGACTCAGTGACCCAGCAAGGACATCCCTAGTTCCTTGTAAAAACTTCTCATGTGTGGTAAGGAGCTATGTACAAGACAGGTTACTGCAGTCTCCTTTGTAAAAGCAAAAAAGGGAGTCAATGTTTAACAACAGGAATATGAATAAACTTCTATGATTATACATTTTGATTGAAGTGAGTAAATCAAAGAACCTTTGTTGATATGGTAATCTAAAAAAAAATTGAAAGAAAAATGGTAATTATAGAAGGGTATGCACAGGATGATATATTCATTTAAGCTTCAACTACATGTAAACCAACATGTATGTTTTATGGCTACATACATTTATGAAAGTACAAAAATGTGAGTTGATGTGATAAACACTCAATTCAGAAGAGGGGTTATTTCTGCAGATAAAGGAGAGTGATTCAAATATGTTTGTCATTTTCTTCTATTAAAAGTGGAAAGCAAATGGAGAGACTAGCTAGTAATGACACTTACTGAGATTCAGGTGTGTTTAAAGTGCTTTAATGTGTATTAATGTATTTGAATCTCGTAACTGCTCCGTGAGGAAAGTCCATTGGGCATCCTCAGTCTGCAGGTAGAGGAACCGAGAGAGGCAGCAGGTAATAGTAACCTGCCCGAGGCCGCATAGCGACGGAGAGCAAGGAGGCATCTCCCTGGGCATTGAGTGCCAGAGCCCAAACCCCTCACTGTTCTTGGCCAAAGGGGCACCAGGGTTATGTAAAGCCATCAGGTAACACTTCAGAGAAGTAGGAAGCAATGTATCTATGGATTTTGTCGGTTTTAAAGAAATATGCCTCTCTCTTAATAAATGACATTAAACTCCTCTTAGTGGTTGGCAAACACACTCCATTTTGTTGTCAGTTTCCTGTTATGGTCAGTTAAGGGAGAGAAGCCTGGTGGCAGAGGAGAATGAAAGGGGTGATGGAAACAATAGGTGGGAGGGAAGACAGCTCTCAAGAAAGCAATGAACGATTGGCATCGGCAGACAGAAGGGATTCTTCAGTTGGTAAACTTATTTTATCCTACCCTCCGAAATGCCCCAAAAGGTAAATTGTTACTTCACTTTGAAAAGCTGACCATGGCTACCTTTGTACCAGAAGCTGTGCCCCATGCTTTACTGGCTCTACCTGTTTTAGTCTCACAACACAGCCTTATGATTAGATCTTGAGGTTGGGCTCCATTTACAGAGGAGGAAATTGCAACCCAGAGAAAGAGAAAGTAAGTAACTTGCACGAGGCCGGGTAGTGAATGACAGATCTCTGCTCCGACTACAGAGCACAAGCTCTAAGCGGCTTTGCTGCGTGGCTTCCAAGCACAGTGCTGTGTTTCGTTTGGCTCAGGTAAAGCAACTCTTTGAGGCAAAACTATTTCCTGGACTTGTAGCCCTGTCACTGAGGAGCAGGTGAGATGAGGGTAGGCTAATGGCCTGGGGTCAAAAAGATGCACGCAAGAGATTTTTTCATTCCTTTAAAAAGGAAAAAAGAAAGGGAGTTGTGGCTCAACTTTCCATTGTTTCATTTTTTAGACAACACAGATTGCAGCAGAGAATATTGGAAGCGAATTACCATCCAGTGCCACTCGATTTAAGCTCGACATGCTGAAAAACAAAGCGAAGAGATCTTTAGCGGAGTCTTTGGAAAGTATTTTGTCCCGGGTAAGTAGCATAATTTCCTCCTGATTTAAGTCACTTTTTAAAGGAGTGTCTGATTTAATTTGTTACTTTTATTCACTTTGTGCTCATCATAAAGTATAGAAGGTGAAATCTTTTTTAATGTCTTCTTAATCTTACAACATTGTTATCTACACTTTAATTTCAGTTTTTAACCTGGCATGGGTGAAACAAATTTTTTGTATTATGTTATATGTAATCCCATGGAAATTTTTGTCTCTCCCCGAAATGCTGTTCATTGGCTAGTTCCTATAAAGGGCACAGGTAAGATGCACCCAGTGTGGGTTCCGTTCTTCCTGGTGTCACTTGGTACAACGTAAGAATCCAGCTTCTGTCCGCAGTTCTTGTTTTGTACCTGGAACTCTGAGGCAGGGTTAGCAAACTACAGCCATCAGCAAACACCACCCACCTCCCATTTCTGTACGTGGAGGGTAATTGAGGCACAGCCACGTCCGTTCACTCACCGGTCGTCTGAGGCTGCTTTTGTGCAGAGTGGAGTAGTTGCCATGGACACCACATGGCCCATAAAGTGTAAGAGATTTGTTTTCTGGGCCTTTACAGAAAGGTGTGTGGACTGCAGCTCTACAGGAATAGAAATAGGAAGTATACATAGGCACTGATATGGGAGTTCTTTAAGAAATCCCACTCCCCCACCCCCAGTGATTATAAATGGCATTTCTCAGAAATCAAAGTGTGATAACCTTTCTGGAGCTTGCAACATCATCTTACAGTTCTTTTTTTATTTTCAGACCCACTTTAAAAAAAAAAATGCTGTATTTTTTTAAAGTTAATTTTTATTTTGTTTGAAAATACTTCTGAGAATTTTGCAGCATCCTTAGACATAATTAAAAACAGTCCATTTACAAAGCCGGGGGTGGGTGGCTGTCTTTGAGAGTCCCACATGCACAGAATGTTGTGAGTGTCATACAGCCAGCGGGTTACAATGACAATTCATAAATGAATAGTCTCTTCTTCCTTCCCATTAAAACTGCCAATCGACTAATCCACAAGGTGTTCTGGAGCATTTAGGTTGGTGTGCTATTAAAAAAAAACAAAAGACAGAAATGTTGGCTGTCTTAATGTATATGTGTGCTTAGCAGCATTTCTCAGGAGATGCATTTTTCCTGACTTTCCTTACAGAAACCACGATGCAGCTAGCTGATGCTTTTGCAGAAGCCTCAGGGGTCATAACTCAACTGCCTTTTCTTTACATAGGGCAATAAAGCCAGAGGCCTTCCGGAACATTCTGCCAGCCTGGATCTGGACGGCTCCGTGTCTAGCACGTTAAATAACACCAACAAAGTAAGCACCTTTTTCTTTCTATGACGCCCTTAAGAAGCCAGCAAATAGGCCGTGTTCCTCTTGTCTCTACAGGGCCTATCGAAAGGGACAAAGAGGCCTCCTATCTCCACTCAAGGAAAGTTTGGTGGTTTCAGTCCTCGTGGTGCCGTGGAGGCTGGCCACGCAGTTAGACATGACACAGACGTCTCATGTGGCTCAGCAGATGCCAGTCCCTAAGCAGAGAAGCGAGATCACACACTCAGACCACTGAGATCGGATTTGCTGCAGGCCACAGTGGATTTCTTTCCCCAGTAGCTTTTCCAGGATTAAAAATAACTGAAATTGGGCAAACCTCAGAAGTGGGTTCGTGAATTCTGAGAAGTATGCAGCTCAAATTCCTGGACCTCACTTTACCCTCCAGCTGGCTCTGCGATTGTGATTAGACATTTCTGTTCGATTGATTGATTGATTTTTTCATTTCTGTTCTACTTAAATAAGCCGCCACGCTCTAGTCTGTGCCTCTGCCACAAGCACGGCTTGGTGACAGTGACCCAGCAGTGGTTCTCTTTGGTGTCCTTGTTTTAGTTTCTTGCTTTCTAGACATTTAAGCCTTTGGTTAGTTCAACTTGTTAACCGCCAACACGTGGGTTTCGGGTTTTGTGCTAAGGAAGCCAGCATTCCTTCTGCTACCCAAGGGCTGCAGATTTAAGAAAGAGGGAACTTTTGTGGCAGCCAGCGCCTTTGCACAGCGACTCCAAGATCTTCTGAGATCCCTACTGGGCTCGTGGCTTTGAAGTTTTGAGATCATAACCAACAGTAAGAAACACATGCAACACTGCGAAATGGTTCACAAGCACATACATACACACTCACACAAAAGTTTCACAAAATTAAAGTTTCACAAAACAGTGCTTACTGTAAGCAGTGTGTGACACATGCTGGTATTCTCTCTTCTGTTTGAAAAGTGTTCACGGCACAGCTCTCAATTGGCGTCACTGTCTGCTGCCATGCTCCCATCTGCAGAGCGAGGAACTCTACCTTCCATGCGTGCTTCTCAGATCCTGAGGGGCGTCTTGAATGGGTTCTGGTTAACATGCAGACTCTGATGCCACAGGAGGCCAGAGACTCTGAACTCTGACAAGTGCCAAGGCGATGTCCATGTGTGGTCGGGGAACCGACTTTGGGGAGTGAGACCCTAGACACCAGTCTTCCAAGTATGATTTCTGAGTTAAAATCTAGCAGAAGTGTCAAGGTCAACTGCCCTTCATTCACTCTGTACTGATTGTACCTCATGATTCATTTCAAGTTTGGAAACATTATAGTTTCTCTACTATATACAGATGGCTAGACAGGGCCTTGCCAAGTTCCTACTTGTCTGGTAGGAGAGGTGACAGGTCCACAAGTAACACCAGCATCTGGTAGGAGTCCTGGGAGTTTGGATGAGAGACGGTGGTGGCCTAATGGTCACAGTGAGGGGAGAGGGACTTATTTTTGGTCAGTGGAACCAGGGGAAGTTTGGAGAGGAGAACAGTGAGGCTTTTGAGTGGAATCTTGAAGAAAGGGTAGGAAGTGTCCCTGTGGAACTGGACGGGGAAGAAGGTGTTTCAGATAGACCACTGCGCATAAAGATAACTGTGAAGACACGCATGTCACTCAAGGGACTTTTCCAGTAAGTCTTGCTCGTTTTTTATTCTTCTCCAAAACACACATCTGGGAATATACACATAGCTTGAGTTTCTAGGGTAGTTTTAGGAGAAGTGCAGCTTTTCAGAAGCCGCCTGTGTGTATTGTGTGTGTATCTTTATGTGCACTTCTTTAGACCTTTTTTTCATCCTGAGGTAGAAAAACTGTTGTAAAGGTGCACATTTAATGCAATTGGATCTCTCCCAATAAATTGATCACCTAGGAGTTGCAAAGGAGCTGGACATCCGAGTGGCCCTTTCAGGTGTAAGTTTAAGCTAAGGGTTAGTTAGCCCTTTCATAGACTGTGGAGAATGTTAATGAGAATTGAGGTGAACAGGCCTGCATGGTGGAGATTGTTTGCTGTGATATATTGTCTTAGACAAATTTTTAAATCCTTGCCTGAAAAGGATCCTTGGAACTATAGAAGAATAACATATTTTAGTTATGTTTAAAATATTATTCCATAGTTTGCTGGGAATTAAACTTTTCCCATCTAATTCCTACAAAATTAAGTGTCTATAATCTCTCCCCTCAATCCACATAAATTAAAATCCTTAGTACCTGTCATCTGAAAGGTACTCAAGTAGGGAGGGATGGGTGCGGGATGGAGAGGGTCAGTGGGGAAAAACAAACAAACAAAGGGGACCTCTGTAATACTTTCAACAATAAAGATAAATTTTAAAAATAAGTAAATAAAAGGCACTCAGCTAGATAGCAAATGAACAGAGAGAATGTAGATTCTCCAGTCCACTGTTAGATGCATTCATTCCTTTTTACTCTTTTCATGTTGATTAATTTAACCCTTCTAGCAATTTCAGAAGGGACGAGTTGGCACACTTCCTCTTATTTTATATTTTTTCATTTGAGAAAAATATGTTGGCCACATACCAAGTTCTGGGAGTGCAGTGCTAAGCATCAGTTTGAGGGGTAGTAGTTCATGCCTTGGAAAAAGTATGTGTTTTGAAAATCTATAGTATTGCACTATTGTCATGATTCTCAACAAATGTTTGAGGGCCTACTCAGTAAGGTCATGGAGTACCTAACAAAACAGTACCTTACATTTGTGTCACATTTTACAGTGAGCAGAGTACTTCCGGTTATAGTATCCTGCTTCATTCTGGAAGCCATTGGGATAAATTTTCACTCTATAAAGACGAGGAAATTGAGGTGCAGAAAGAAGATAAGTGATTGGCCCTGAATCGTGGCAATAAATGCCGAGGGAGAGATTTTCCATATACTAAGAATAATTGAGGATATAATTTTTAACCCTCAAGATTACCAAGTTAAATCTTAGCATTAAATCAAATCCAGAGAGAGAGCCTTAAAGTGTGGGTGCAATGTGTATGGACACACTTGGCAGAGATAAAGAACTTGATTTGTTTAAGCAGTGCAGACAAGTTAGCCAACCCTCATTACGCATCTTACGAGCGATAGTTCAGTTGTGTTTTCCAGAGAGAGGAAACTGGGTTTGGCCTGGGACCGTTCTGTGTCATGGTTTGCGTCCCTCACGCTTGCATTTGGGCAGTTTCCCACTTGTCCCACAAGTTAGCATTTTGTCTCTGACAAGCAGGCATGTAAAGGGCTTTTATTTCCTTATGGGTTGTGGTGGCTTCCACCTGGCATTATAATCAGATGTGCTTACATATTGAACTGTTTTCCTGCGGCTGGGGTTTAGAGCTTTGTAAGTCCCACAGGTTTCCTGGGATCCGTCTGATCTGCTGTCTGTCTGCCTCCAGGAGCCCTCTGTGTGTGACAAGGAGGCCTCGCCCGCGTCTGAGAGCAGAACCAGGCTCCTGGGCTCCTCAGACGACCTGCTGTCCGGTGACACGGAGAGCCCTCCCGCGGAAGAGCCTGCCCTGCTCTCTCCCCAGCAGGGCTACCGAAGGCGGGCGAACACCCTGAGTCACTTCCCCGTGGAGTGCCAGGAGCCTCCGGAACCCGCCCAGGGCTCCCCGGGGGGCTCGCAGAGGAAACTTATGAGGTACCACTCAGTGAGCACAGAGACGCCTCATGAACGAAAGTAAGATTTGTTTGAAATGTGAATCTGTTGTGTAGCATAGCTGGGCCATACCTGTTCCTAAGCAGGTATGTGCATCCCTGGTATGTTCATTGGGTCAGAGAGAACCCCGAGTCAGGTTTACTCTTGGCTTAAAGAGATCAACTTGATGCGGTGGCATGCTCCCCCTGCCCCACCCCCACCCCTACCCCGGCCCCTCATGGGAAATGTAGATGAAGTGATACTTGTTACCAGTGTTGGGGAGAAGCAGGAGAAACAGAGCAGAAACGGCCCTTATGGTGTATAAGGGTCACTCCTCCAGGAGGGCCAGGCGGTTTGACCTTGGCACTCAGCTCGTGGCTTTGCAGAGAAGTGGGGAGCGGGCCAGCAGGGCGGGGTGCTCACCTGAACACCGGGAGCATGTCCTCGGTGGGACCGAGATGGGTGGAGCCTGAGGGGCCACGTGGCTGCCTGTGCTGGCTGCAGAGGCGTGGGCCCCGGCCCCGGCTCTGTCCTGAACTGGCTGTGACCTGCCTAAATCTCTCCGTGACAAAATTGGAACAGATGTTCTCTAAAATCTCCGTGGGTGGGAGAATCCTAAAGTCTTGTAACAAGATTTGCTAATTCTAAAAACTGGGCTCTAACGGGAGTTTCCTGGTCACAGACATGGGTAAGTACCAGAGTAACAGAAGTCCTCCTGTTCCACCTGGGGTCCCTTGGCCATGCATTTGACCCTAAGTGTCAGAGACCAGAAGTGGACAGTTATCTTTAAAATTAACTGTAAAACCCCTTTTACAACCCCTGGCCTCATAAACGTGAAGTAGGGCCACACCTGCCTACAACGGAAGCCCCAGGACGTGTGTCAGTGCCGGTCATGCGCGGATCGTGCACAGTCCACGGGGGGGGGGGGGGGGGGGGGGGGGGTTGGGGGGTGAAATGTTCCCAGTGAAGAGGTGACGGCATTGACAGTCCTGAAACTATGTAGCAGGGCCTCTCGGCTTTGTCTTCAGGCAGCCACTGAAAGCAGTTGGGGCAATTCTTTGGAATTTGCTGGATAACCAGGATCCCCAAGCAGGACACACTGAGGGAGCTAATATTTGATAATACGACATTTTAGAGACAACACGGTTGGAGGCCTTATGAGGGTCTTGTCATGTGTCTTAAAGCTCTGCACTCACACTGGGGCCTTTTCTTCTGCCTCTCCACTGGGTTGCCACACTCAGTCCTGGCATTTTCAGTGCGAATGCAAACGTTCCTGTCTAGAGAGGCCTCGTTCTCTGGCTAATAAGCCTGGTGTTTCACAGAAGGCAGAGGTGGGGGGATCAGTGTCCCTGACAGCGCATTCCCCTTCTCCCCTGGGAATGCAACTTCCTAATGGGTCATGCCGGACATAGTGGCTGAGAGGCATGGGGGGAGGGGGAAATGTCATCCCCTCCCCCACCTCTTCTCCCCCTCCTCTTCCCCTGTCTCCCCTACCTATTGCACGTTCCGCACCCTGTACGAACCCTTCTTATTTATGTCCAGGAAATGAGACATTGATATTCAAGGCAGGTTATTGTTCATTTTTAAGAGAGATGTATTTTTAAAACTCTGGAATTTGGTTTGCTTTTCTTCGCTTTTGTTTCAATTGAAATTTTTTTTCCTGTCCGTTCCTAAAATGGGGATAGAGGAAACAGTATTATTGGTTGTGGAGATATGTGGGAAATGATCAAGAATGACCTTTCACAATACTCTTTGTTTCACTAAAAACTACCTCTGCCACTGAGAGTCAGGATGCAGAAGCGAAGTGAGACACCGCCCTCTCGCCCCCTCTTGCCCCTCTGTCGTGCCCCCCTGGCCCCCCTCTGCCGCTAAACCCCAGTGCTTTCTCTCTACTTGCTATTTAGTGGGAATCATCCACCTGTTGGCGAGTCTAAAAGTTGCTCAGGTCCTTCAGTTCCTGCTCCTCCACCTCGTCTTAACCCCTCCGACTCCTCACCAAATTTTTTTAAGTCCTTAAAACATAACACGAGTGGAGAACAAAGTGGGAATGCCGTGCCTAAGAGGTGAGCGCACTCGCATGGCAAGTTCAGTGTCGTTTGTCTTCCGGGGAGGTTCGCACCGAGAGGATGTGCTGCATGGAGGGGACCTGGGCCACGAGTGTGTGTGTGTGTGTGGTTTTATTGTTTTCATTATTTTCAGTCTATCATTCGAACTGACTTAATTTTACTATTGATTATTTTTCTCAAAATTAAATTTTTTCCTAAATTTTAATTTCCTCAAAAGGTCTTGATGGCAAGCCATTTGTATATACTTACTGTCACATTCCCCTGTCCCAATACACACACACACACACACACACACACGTTAAAACACGTGTTTGACCGTAGACAATGCAGTTTGTGCCACATCAGAAACGCCCTCATTAATTTTTCCAGTTTGAAAGAAAGAGTCATTTTGGAAGATGGACTGATTTTTTGGGTTGTTTTGATTTTCCTTTATTCTGGTAAGAGCGCTTATCAGGAGATCGGCACTCTTAACAAGTGTTTAAAGGGTCGCACACCGTATTGTTAACCCCAGGCACCGTGTTGCATGGCAGCTCTCGGAATTCATTTATCTCGCGTAACTAAATGGACTGATGCTTTTAAATTAACTCATTGGTTCCATTCATTTAAAATGGAATTTTATTAACTGAAAAATTCAAGTTCAATCTCACTTGTAAGCTATTTTTAATTTCCCACCTGGTTTACTTTCTCTTAGCATTAGAACTAAAATGTTGCTTTAATTTTGAAGCTGATGTTTTATACTTTGTATGTTTGTATTTCTTTGTCCTAAACTCTTTTTCCAACCGAACTCTCAGCATCTCCTACCGCAATGCCCTGCGGAGAAAACTCCACTCTTCCTCCTCTGTGCCAAATTTCCTAAAATTTCTGGCTCCTGTAGATGAAAATAACACCTCTGACTTTATGAGCACAAAAAGGTAGGGCTTCCTTTAGCTGTTTCAAGCCTGGGTGGAGTGTTGAACTGTTAGACACACAGGGATTTTCAGCTGTTCTTTTGCCATTTGAAAAGTCATTTTAGCTAAATCTTATTGTATCTTCTTTCTTATACTTTTTTTTTCTTACTGAATGTCATTTTAAAAAATGTACTGTCAGCCTCTTCTAATTTTGACGAGGATTCGTTTATTAATATGCTGCTGTTTTCAGAAGATTAAAGAAGGTCTTACTCAGTTCTCTAAGTGACATTGGAGCTGTGGGTAGTGAGCCTGTGGCTGGGTGTCCGATCTGTAGGTGCTGGTGATTTGCACAGTTGTGGGTATGTACACGGGTGGCAAAAGTAGGTTTACAGTTGAGGGTGCACGAAACAGTTTATTTTGTATGATTATTTATTAATGATTGTATTATTTTCCATACGAGCAAATGTAAGCCTACTTTTGCCCACCTCTGTATATGTACACACACTCACGTGTAGATTATAAGGGCTTCCTTCCCCAAGTTGCCCTGCGAATAGGAAGCACGTTAATGACTCGATGTTAGTTATGTATATTGATAAATGTACTGTGTTTTGTAGTTTTAAAAATATAAAAGTTAAGTCAGTAGTCATCAGCAAGTGACCGAGTAATTACTGCCTTGGTGGTGCTATGTAATTTAACTTTTGTATTTTGTGTGATGACCTGTGGAGACGAAGGCCTGTGCTGTGAAAATACTCCCACAGGCAGACCAGGGGGGAGTGTGGCCCTGGTGACAGCGCCCCCTGTAGGCAGTTCCTCTGCATAATGAAGTGGCGCCCAGAGAGGCCCAGCTGGAAGCTAAGGATTCCTGGAGGGTATTTCTAAATCGCTTTACCATGGAAATTAATGAGGGGTATGTCCTCTCGCTCTTTATGCAGAGCCTCCTATAAGAAAGCAGCGCGCAGGAGTGATGGCCCACTCTGCGCTGGACTGAACTTCTGCAAGGATTAATGATATTTCCTTCTGCAAAGATAGTTGATATTACAATGCGTTGTTTAAAAGACAAAAACGAAAGCTAAAATACCTGTTTCTACCTCCTCACCAGTCAGAAATCAATTCTCTTGTAATTTTAGGGACTTGGACGCCAAAGCCCACCATCTCGACGACCCCAGCGGGACGCCTGTGAAGACGCGGAGACACTCGTGGAGGCAGCAGATATTCCTCCGCGTGGCGACCCCGCAGAAAGCGAGCGACTCGCCCAGCAGATACGAAGGTGAGGCCCGCCCCGAAACAAAGCTGCTAGCTAGATTCTGGCGTGGGTTCTGCCTGCAGCACAAGTGCACGGGTGGGAGAAGAGCTGACACGGGGTTTCCAGGCAGAATCTCCCCTGGTTCTAAAGCTCCCCGGGTCAGAAGCTCAAATACAAAGCTGGTCGCTATGTTCAGAGGTCCTCGCAGCAGCTGCCAACACCTCGGTGGCGCCTCTGTCCTGGCCGGTTTGGCTCAGTGGATAGAGCGTGGGCCCCTGGACTAAAGGCTCGCGGGTTCGATTCCGTCAAGGGCAGTACCTGGTGGGATACTGCGAGGCGGGGGTTGCTGGAGGGGGTCAGCGAAGCGAATGTTTTCAGCTCTTACCTCAGCCCTCCACACGGGGGCGCCGTGGAGCCCCCCTCTGCAGCCCCTTCCTGGGGGGCGGGGAGGGGGGTGGTGCTGGAGGTGGAGGGGTGTGGACAGAGTTGGGAGTGTGTGGGGAGGGACCGAGGGAAGCCCTGGAGGGGGAACCGAACTGTAATTTGTGGCTGAAACAGCAGAACAGCAGCAGCCCCTGGAGTTTCGATGTTTGAAAGTGGCGCCCAGCACAGCATCGCTGGGGGTTGAGGTGTGATGGTGTATTAATGCATCTGGATGTGTACCTGTCATGGCAGTGCGCTGACGATGCTTGGCTCGGCGGCTGAGAATGTACCAGCGCCAGGACGACTGTGCGAGGCAGCCGCCTCATTTCGGAACAGACCTGAGTTTTCAAACGCACTTTCTCAGACGGAGCCAGGTCCTGCCCCAGGTCCCCCGCCCTCCTGCCCTGGTCTCTGCAGCCACACGGAGTGCAAATGCTGCCTTCTACTTCCCGGACTTCAGATGGCGAGGGTCCTGGAGTAGCTGCTCCCTTTAGAGCTGCTCTAGGGACTCCTCTTGTCAAAGGCCTGTCCCCTGGGCACACTATCCCCGCTGTCCCCGTGGGACCTGCCCCAGTGCACTCCGCGGTCTCCAGCTTCACGGGGAGCCTCCCCCCTACACTGATGGCCACTGTTCTCTCAAGGCAGGGCCCTCCATAACCTCTCTCGCTCTAAGAAATTATCCCCCATTCTTTTAAAAATTATATATTTTTATTTATGTATTTATGTATTTTCCTCAGCTGAGGGTGTTTTTTCCATTGCTTTTCAGAGAGAGTGGAAGGGAGGTAGGGGAAGAGAGAGAAACATCCATGTGAGAGAGACATAGATTGGTTGCCTCTCACATCTGCCCTGACAAGGGGTGAGGAGTGAACCCGCAACCCCGGTTCATGCCCTCGACCGGGAATTGAACCTGAGACCCTTCAGTGCCCAATCTGACACTCTAATCACTGGTCCGCACCGGCCAGGCCTGTCTCCCATTCTTGACTCCTACGGTATGTTGTCCCTTTGGCCATGAACTCATTGATAAAGTGGACTGATTTCTAGTTGCCCTTGAGAAAGCGTTTTTAAAAAGCTTTTCCCCAGACAGTTGGTACCGGTGAAGTGCTGCAGCATTGGTTTGGCCAGTTCGGTTGGGATGGTTTTGAAGCGTGATTCTGGTGACCGGTGTGTGTAAAAGCCGGGTAACCTTGACGAGCCGTGCCTTCTGTGTCCTTCAGTGCTTGATGGAAGGGCTGAACACGACAGGGCCACGTGCAGGTACCGCTGCCGCCGTTCCTAGTCCGTAATCATCACCGATGCTTCATGCCCGGCCTCCTCAGCGACTGCCAGGAAGGGGTCCTGAGCCGGCCCGGGTGCATGAGGCCAGTCCTGATACATCGCCCACCTCTCCTCGACCAGGTCTCCTGCCGGGCCCCTCACTCTCGCCACACGCGCTGCTACTGCAGCTTCTCCCCGTGTGCCCGTGACTACCTGCCTCACTCGCTTCAGGTCATTGCTTAAAGTCACCTTTTCAAAAACCTGCCTGGTTTTCCCCCCTCCCACCACCAGACATTCCCGTCTCCTTATCCTGAGTTTTCTCCCAGCACCGACCCCCTTGTAACAGACTCCAGCAGTTCCTTACTCATTACCTTCGCCATCAGGCTCCTCCTGTCAGCACAGGTTTTATGACTTTTCAAGGAGGCGAGTAATTGCTCAGATTCTTACACACTTAATATTGTTCATGGTGATTTCCTAACTCCCTCCTCATTCTCCTGTTTCTCTCTGGGCACTTGTCCCCTCTGCTCTCTTATTGAAATTAAAATATGCTGTCTGAATGTTTTTATTATATTGAAGGTACTCTGTGTCTGAGAGGGAGAGAGAGAGGAGAGAGAATAAATGCATTTAAGGCTAAGTGGGCATGATTATAATAATCACTTATTATGACCTCATTTGTGGAAGTGCTTTATATGAATTATTTCCTTTAATTCCCAGTCAGCTTTATGGCGGTCGGCATTTTTATTACACCGTTTGCAGATGAAGGACCTGAGTGGTGGAGTGGCCTCCATCACTGTCCTCAAACCACAGGACGAGCGGGTGACAGAGGCAGGACTGGAGCTCGTGGGTCCGCATCCCAGAGCTCGCGCTCTGAACCGCACTCAGGCCGGGGCTGCGGCCAGAGATGACCGAGTCACCCCCCGAGGGTGGCCCTGCGTGTGTGTCTTGCAGTGGCCTCCTTCCCACCGGAGGTCCCCTGCGGGCATCTGTGTCGGGCGTGTATGCTCAGTTTACCCACCGTCCCCCATTGGCCTGGCACCGATACATTTCTGAGCATTTCAGTGTGTGGGCTTGGCTTCAGTCATGTTAGCATTGGGATTGGAGGATGAGTTCCTAATATCTATCTGTGAGTTTTCTTCTCCCAAAGCAGGCACCTTCGCCCTCTGTCGCTGTCTGCTCCCCATGTTTAAGGCGCAGGAACTTCCACTGTGGTCGGGATAGGCATGGACCCACACCAGGCATGTTGCCTTAGCGGCTAGACCAGTGGTCGGCAAACAGCGGCTCGCGAGCCACATGCGGCTCTTTGGCCCCTTGAGTGTGGCTCTTCCACAAAATACCACATGCGGGCGTGCACGTACAGTGCAAAGTTGACTTAAAACTTTAAGTAAAGTTTATTAAGTTAATTTTAGGGAACGTTGTGGAGTGAAAGAAGATGTAGTGTCGAGGATTGAGAAAGGTATGTTGAGATGGTTTGGACATATAGAGAGGATGAACGAAAGGAGATAGACGAAGCAAGTACAAAAGACGAATGTGAATGGGAGAGTTGGAAGGGGTCGACCTCAGCGAACGTACCTCAGTCAGATTGAGGACGTTTTTAGCAAAGGCCAGCTTAGGAGTACCCTAATTACGTTAATAACAATGTACCTACCTATATAGTTTAAGTTTAAAAAATTTGGCTCTCAAAAGAAATTTCAATCGTTGTACCATTGATATTTGGCTCTGCTGACTAATGAGTTTGCCGACTACTGGGCTAGACCCACGGGCAGCCCGGGACGCCGTGGGTCCGGGTGGTCAGAGGGTCGCCACTTCTAACAGGCTCCCCATGACGCTGTGCATGCTGAGCAGCCAGGGCTGAGGACAAGTGGCCACGGAGCTCCAGCCCAGACCTTCTCGTCCTGGCGCGACTCCTCTGTGCACCCCTCTGCCTCTGGGCTCAGTCTGGATGAGCCAGGGAGCCACCACGTGTCACAGACGAGGGACTCAAATAAATCTGGGTCATAGTGACATTTTCGAGAAGATTTGTGCTGCCTGGAGAAGCAGCTAGTCTGGTTGGGAAAATACAGTAAAAACAACAACAAAACATCTGGTGACAGGGACACAGAAGAACCTGAGAATGTGCCCAGCGAAGCCAGGCACTGGGGCTGCCTCTTTCCTGTCTGTCTGTCTCCCGGGGACGCTCTGTCCCTGGGGCGGCACCAAGGGCTCGGATGTGCGGCGTTTGTTTTCCAAGCTGCGGGTTCCGACTGAATTGTCAAAAAAAATGCTGCAAATCAACTTCTGACTAGATATTTGCTAGTAGAAACACTGCACAGTTGTTCCTCCTAGTGTATCATACAAAAGATAATTCTTTTTTGTTAAGAAATAAATGGGATGGAGGGGGTCCTTTTATTTACCTCGGTGCCAAGGAGCAATGCTAGTCCTAGTCCAGGACCTTTCATTTCAGCATTGGCTGTTACATTGTGCATTTACAGATTTCACCAGCGATAGAAGTGTTCGGGCTTTACGTGTCTTGTTAAAAGAAAAAAAGAAAAACCCATCTGATATAAGTGAGATTGATGGATTTGAAACCCATTGCATAAGCAAATAGTCGAGTGAAACTGAAGTTCTCAGGGTGTTTGTGTTGTGAGCAGAGCTGTGTCAATATGCCTAATTTATGATAAGGCCAGGTCTGTTGGGTTAGATAGTAGATGTAAGTGGTACTGGCAGAACTAGGGACTACAGCCTGAACCTGTAGGATGACTTTTATATTATCGTGGAAATGCAGACACGGCTCTTTGACAGTGACTTGTGTCATGCATAGCCAAACTTCCATGAGTTTATATGCCACTGGGAAATTTTAGTGGATGATATAAGCAGAATAGCACCGAGTACAACTTTACTGGGACATTGAAACCTCATAGTGACACCTTTTGCGTTGATCCAGAGTTCTCAACTTCCACTGTGCACCGAAGTCAGGTGGTGGGTTTTTTAAAATGCGGCTGCACCTGCCCTCTGGTTCTCTGCCTCGCTGAGTTATTTGGTTAGGGACAAGGTCTGGGCATGAATTCTTTGTTTTCTGTTTTTACATATATTGATTTTAGAGAGGAAGGGAGAGGGAAAGAGAGCTAGAAACATCAATGATGAGAGAATCATTGATCAGCTGCCCCCTGCACATCCCCTACTGGGGATCGAGCCCGCAACCCGGGCATGTGCCCTGACCCGGAATTGAACTCTGACCTCCTGGTTCATAGGTCGACGCTCAACCACTGAGCCACACCAGCCGGGCATCTTTCTTTTCTTTTTAAACTCTCCGGAATGATTCTGATTGTTGCCTGACTGAGACCACTAGTTTAGACATCAGAGGGTGACTT